CAAGAACAGATGGCAGAAGTTAATAGGCCAAGATGCCAGTCAGATCTCACAAATACCATGGAAAAAATTCAAGACAATTCGTCCAGTCAAAATTAGGAGCCTCCAATGGCTCATCACATATGTAGCTCTGCCAGTTAACCAGTGGTTACATATCAGAAGAAAGAAGAACGACCCTAACAGCTCAGAGCTATGCACGGTCTGTTCACAAAATGAACCTGAAGATATATTACATTGTCTGATACGCTGTACAGAGGCGACCGAATATTGGGCGAGAGCCTCGGAGCTATGGGACTCCCTCTTCCCGATTCCCCTCCCCGAACATCCTGTCCAACTCCTTCTATGGACTAACATCCCTGCCCAATTTCACAAGTCAGAGAAAATATGGTTTGGAATGATCCGAAAGACGACGCTGTGGTCCATCTGGAAGGAAAGGTGCTGCAGAACTATTGAGGGACTCTCGACTCCAACGGAGAAGGTATGGGCGGAGACAAGGACCCTGATCCAGGCTGAGATTCTTTGCAAATGGCATAAGACCAGACAATCTATGCCGGATGACGTAGAGCAACAGGAAAAAATCAAGGCAAACTTTACTAAGGTGTGGCTTGCAAGGGGCAAAGTGGCGRAGATAATCGACTCTCGCAKAAGGTGGAAGGACTGGCACAATTCAGAAACAKGGAGGAGGAGGCAGAGTTCTCAGTCAGCAGAAGGACCAGCTCTATCACAGGTCACATAATAAGTGGAGCCYGGAATCAGRTACTGTAGCTTTCATGGCGTCCTGTTCTTTCKTGTTTTTATYGTGTATACGACAGGCTTAAGCAGTAGTCCTGAGAGGTAAGAAGAAGGAAAGGCAAGCTGACAGTCAATCCTTCACGCAGGTGAAGTAATCAATGCTGTTCAGGGTTCCTTCGGCCGGACGGAAGGAAGCGTGAGTGGGTTCATGATGTAATATTTTTCTGACTTGCCGGTGGAATAGGAACCGGACTGATGCTCCCCAGAATGGAAATGGAGCCGGGGCCATAAGGACCTGATAAAAAAAAAAAAAAAAAAAAAAAAAAAGTTTTGCAAATAATGGCTATCGTGGATCAAACATGTAGTTTGGAAAGTGAGCCATCTCTGGAACGAGGAGAAAAAGGACTGGGTGACAGAGCAGGAACTTGCCTCCCAGCTCGAAGGATGTCACCGTCGAGATGAGAATCTACAATCCATTATCAACAGCATCCCAGAAGGCTGAAAGGAGTTGTTGAGCGTAGCCTCAACCTGGAAATCGGGCGAATGGGGAGTGAGGGCGCAGGATTTAACCCCCTCAAGGGCCTATCAATTTTCCCATCAACAGCAAGGGTCGGATGCCCTGGCGGTGTTTACCTCTTTCCCAATTACCACCTCCACGCAAGGCCTCCCATCTATCCTGAATAAGGAGGTAGAAAGAATAGTCCTAAACCCTCTTGTACTCAGAAAAGTAAGAGTGTTGGGATCATGGCCAAAAACAATATTCAGAATAGATAAGGCGATTCAGACTTTGAATTTGATCCAGCAGAGTGGGCTTGGACACCAGACAGAAGCAGAAATCTCAAAACGAATGTCCCCATCCAGGAATACACTGTCAAACTGGGATACAACTTACTCTCTCAAAACAAAGGATCCTGACCCAACGATCAAGAACAGATGGCAGAAGTTAATAGGTCAGGAAGCGAGTCAGATCCCACATATACCATGGAAAAAGTTCAAGTCAATCCGACCGGTCAAAATCAGAAGTCTCCAATGGCTCATCTCATACGTGGCTCTACCCGTTAATCAGTGGCTGCATATCAGAAAAAGTAAGAATGACCCTAACAGTTCAGATTTACGTGCAGTAGATTCAGAAGATAAACCAGAAGATATGATACATTGCCTGATACGCTGTAGCGAGGCGACGGAATATTGGGTGAGGGCCTCGGATCCCTGGGACTCCCTCTTCTCGATTCCCCTCCCTGAACACCCCATCCAACTCTTATGGACTAACATCCCAGCTCAATTTCACAAGACAGAGAGAATGTGGTTTGGAATGATCAGAAAGGTAACCATGTGGTCCATCTGGAAGGAAAGGTGCTGCAGAACCATCGACGGTCTCTCAACTCCAAGGACCTTGATTCAGGCAGAGATTCTTTGTAAGTGGCATAAGACAAGACGCTCCATGCCAGATGACGAAGAGCAACAGAGAAAGGTGTAACTAAGGCAAGCTGACAGTCAATTCTCCATGATGTTGGAGCAGCCAGACAGAAGGAAGGGTGAGTGGGTTTTACGATGTAATATTTTATTCTGACTTGCCGTGGTAATAAGAACCGGACTGATGCTCCCCAGAATTGAAATGGAGCCAGGGCCAAAAGGAACTGTTCAAAAAAAAAAAAAAAAAAAAAAAAAGTTTTGCAAATAATTATGACACGACAGCAGGAAAGCATATCCCCTTTTGCCATGCCCATGGCTCCATTCTACTGTGGGTAGCAGCATCCTGTTTCTTCATCTACAGTTTGGGGGACTGCTGGCTTGATCAAATCTTGAATTACCCCTCACAGAATGCCATGGCACTTCCTGATAGTCCCTTTCCTCCCATCAAAATTTAAACAGACGCCCCCCCCACAACAACGCAAAGAAGGCGATGGAGATTACTGGCTGATATGGGAGGAGGATGACAACTTGTCGAGTAGACTAAAGCCTTTTCCCAGAACCATTTGGGTCTGTAACTATCACGTAGATCGCGTAGCAGATCCTCTTGCAAGCTGGCAGGACAACATTTTGCAGAATTCAGAGCTTTCTGGGTCTGAGTTTTTTTCTATCAATGTGGAGCCTCTGATTCGCAGGGAGGGTCATGTAGGCAATAAGCCACTGGATGGCTTCTTCCCGTTCTCACTGAATTTTTACATGGGTACTTACTTCCGTCCCATGGCAAAATCAGAGAGGATCAGGCTCGCTCTAATAAGGAAACTGCATCCGGAGAAAAAGACCTGATGCATTACCTCCCTGGGATTCTACCCCAAGCTGTGCGCAACGGTCTGCGTTTCTTGGGTTTTTAGGCAATGCTGCCTGCAGCAGTGAGAAGGTGGTGCTCCATGCCGACGGACAAGAGACATCAAACCTAGGTCGGTCGCCAATCCCAGGGATTTACAACTATCCTAACAATTGATGGCCGCTGTATGGATGTCACCACCCCCCTGGATTCCCAGAGTCCCCAACAATAACAAAAAAGAAAGGAGAAGAAGGTATAGTGTTGCCGTCTCTGCTTTACTGCTCAAGAATAGGCCTTAATAATGGACAAGTACAACTGGCAACCGAACAACTACAATATCACAAGTTCAAAGAAACTAGCAAGAGACATCACAAGGAGAGCGAGGTTCACTAAGGTCAGCGTCTAGCATGGGGATTTGCATTTTCCGTGGGTCAGGAGAATGTGGTCACGCACCTTCTCAAGGTCTACTGTGGCAAGCTGGTGCAATGCGCTGTTACAGCGAGCCTCTTGGTTCCTCACTAAAGCAGCTTGTTCCTCAACCCTTCGCTGCATCTCTTTCTCCATCTTTACCAACTTTTCGGAGAGTGCCTTGCTCTCTTCCTCAAGGCCCTGAACTCTCCCTTCAGATGACTCCAGGCTTTCCTTCAGTTCGACCAAGTTGTCCTTCAGACTTGAATTCTCTTGTAGTAGACGACACTTCTCCTCCTCCAAAGCTGATAGCTGAGCACCCTGCTCCTCTAGATTCCGCTCCAGCTCCTCTCCCTTTTCAGAGAGCGTCGTCGCCTCTCTCTCATAGGTCTGTGCCTCACCTTGCAAATCGCTGAGCGCTCTTGCAAGGCCCGCATTTTCTGAGAGCGCCGCCGATTTTGCATTCTCCGCAGCTGCGACCTTTCCTTCCAAATCCTTCTCTCGCTGTAAGCTTGCGTGTAGCGATTCTTGTACCTCCTGCAGTTCATTTGTCAGTTTCAATCTGAGATCCTCTGCAGTTTGCAAACCCGCTTCGTGCTTCTCACAATCGTCTGCAAGATCCTTAACTCTCTGGTTTGATAAAATAAACCTTTCCAACAACTCTGCAAGCTCTTTCTCCAATTCTTCCTTTGAGGCCAGCGCAGACTGCCTCTCTTCATTTGAAATCGCAAGTTCCCGGGCATGCTCCTTAATATGCTGCTCCAACTCTTCCTTCCACATTTGTATCTCCTGAGCTTGCATTTCATACTTTTTCCTCAGGTCTTCAGCTCGTCCATTAGATCCATCGAGTTCCCTGTTTAACGTCTGGAGCTCATCCTTCAGTTCTGAATTCCTGGAGACTGCTTCCAACCTGGCTGCCTCTGAAGTTGCATGCATCTCTTGCAATCTCTCCTCCATCTGTGAGCTCGCCGAGAGAGACTCCCTCAGCTCTTCAACCACTTGGCAAAGTTTCAACCTGGAGTCCTCGAGAGCAGCTATTGTTTCTCTGTGTGTCTGGCATTCCTTCTCCAGTGCACAGCTCCTCGCCCTACACAGCTCAATTGTCTGCTTGAGCCTCACGAGCTCCTCCTCTTGCTGCATTTTCTCTGCAACAGCGTCCAACCTTCCTCTCTCAGCAGCCTCAAGCCTGACTTCAAAACCTGCCTCCCTCTCAACGCCTTCACTTACTAATTGCCTCAGCTCCTCTACTTCTTTGGTAAGTTGTGAACTAGATGACTCAGACAGTCGCAATTTCTCATTCTGTGTTTGGAGCCCTTCCACAAGAACCTGTGCTCTACTTTCAGCTGATTCCAGTCTGCCGTTCACTGCTTCAAGTTCATCCTCAAGTTTCTCCTTCACCTCAATCGCCGTCCGGTTTTTCTCCTCCAAAGCCAAAAGCTGTTGCTGTAGTTCTTTCTGGAGGGTCTCAGATTCCTGGAGTACCACTTGTGACCCCGTCTGCAGACACGCAACTTGTCGGTATAATGCATCAATCGTCTCTTTGAATATTCTGATTTCTCCCTCGAGTCCTGTCTTCTCAGAGACCTCTATCGGCAAAAATCTCTCCGAGTTTGCAGCCATCAATTCTGCATCGTCCACAAAATTAGAGCTGGCATTCAGCGACTCTCTGCTTCTGAAGTCAGTCGAAATTCCCAGTTTTGCCAGTTGAACCTCACACTGTTCCTTCAGAAGGTGGGAGGCCCTCGTTGCTAATTCCAGGCTCCTCTTCCATGCTGTTACCTCCTCCTCTAGCGATACCTTTTCAGCGACGACCTTGCACAGTTCTTTCCGTGCAGCTGCAAGGTCTTCAGCTTGCTCAGCCGAGGATTGGTCCATTCCTGCAACTTTCTGGCTCAATACCTCAAGCTTTTCCCCCAATATTTTGACCTCCTCCTCCAAACCTATCTTCTCTGAAACAGCTTCTGACATCATTTTCTCTGCAGCTACAATCCTCGACTGAAGCTCATTCTCCCTGGCTATGGTTGCGGCGAGTGCTTCCCTGGCCTCCACCAACTCTTTACGAAGAACCTCTGTTTCCTCAGACTGCCGTCCACATTGTTCCTCCAGCTTCCTAGCTCTTCTCTTTGATTCTTCAATATCCAGCCTCAATTGTGCACACTCGTCTTCCACTCCTGGATCCCTGGGGACTACATCAGATGGATCTGGGTCTGCTACTTCCTGGTTTGGCACTTCAAACCTCTCCTCCAACCTCTCCTCCAACATTCTGACCATTTCTTCCAAGCCTTGCTTGACCGAGGCTGCTTCCAATATGGCTTGCTCTGAGGCAGCAACCCTGCTTTCGAGGTCTTTCTCCCTGTCCACACTTGCAGTAAGCAATTTTCTGGCCTCATCCAACTCCTGGCTCAGAACCGCTCGGCTCTCTTCCAGAGTTTCCAGGTTCTTTGATTGATAACCACACCGCTCTTCAAGCTCTTCAATTTGTTTCTTTGATGCTTCAACGTCAAGGCTCAGGTTGGGCAAATCCTCCTCCATTTCAGTGTTCTGGGAAGAGACGGTAGACAGTGGTTGATCTTCACCTTGTCGGTTTGACAACTCGAGCTTCTCCTTCAATACCCTGATCTCCTCCTCCAGACCTGACTTCTCTGAAACAGCTCCAAACATGGCTCTCTCAGCACCCGCTACTCTCATCTCAAGGTCCTTTTCCCTTTCCATGGCTGCTCTGCCTTTGTCAAAATCAGCAACCCTGCTTTCGAGCTCTTTCTCCCTGTCCACACTTGCAGTAAGCAATTTTCTGGCCTCATCCAACTCCTGACTCAGAACCGCTCGGCACTCTTCCAGGGTTTCCAGGTTCTTCGATTGATAACCACACCGCTCTTCAAGCTCTTCAATTTGTTTCTTTGATGCTTCAACGTCAAGCCTCGAGTTGAGCAAATCGTCTTCCATTTCAGAGTTCTCAGAAGAGACAGCAGACAGGTGTCCATCTGCAACTTGTTGATTTGACAGCTCAAGCTTCTGCTCCAATCCTCTGATCTCCTCCTCCAAACCCGTCTTTTCTGAAACAGCTTCAAGCACGGCTCTCTCTGAAGCAGCAACTCTCCTTTCAAGGTCTTGTTCCCTTTCCACAGCTGCTGCGAGCAGTTTCCTTGCCTCCTGCAACTCACTATTGCGAAGCACCTGGGACTCTTCCACAGCTTCCAAGCCTCTTGACTGATACCTGCACTGCTCCTCAAGCTCTTGGACTCGTTTCATTGCTACTTCAATACCCAGATTCAGTCCTACAATCGCCTCCTGCAGGCTGGCATTGTTGGCTAGGAGATTGTCCCTATCCATCATCAATCTTGCTAGCTCATCATCATGGCCTTTTTCGCCCACAGTTCCCTTCTCTGCTGAACCTTGAGGACCCCGGTCCAGGTTGTCCCACATCCATGAGTCTGCATCTGTCCATTCTCTTTCCTCATCTAGCCCTGTTGAATGTTTCAACAAAGAGTTGGATGTGCTGAGGTGCAATGTCAAGTTACCAATATTGACGTCGCATTCCACCTTTATTGCCTGGATCCTGTTTAAGCAAAGCTCAAGGCACTGGTTTAGCATTGCCACTTCGTTTTTCACCCTAGCATTCTCAATCAGCACTTCCCTTGGCTCCTCTTGTGCCAATAGAAGGTTTCCAGCTTCCTCCTCTGACCTTGGTCTCAGCTCTTCCTTCAGCAGTTCGCAGACGCGGATCTGCGCCGCTATGTCCCTTTCCAAATCATTCCAATGTGCAACCGATAGCTCAAGGAAACTCTTCAACCGCTGAAGAAACTCCACTGGTTGCTCACAGATGGCTGGCAATTTTGACACTGATGCCTCGCCCAATGCTCTCGCCGCCCTCTCTGTGCTCACGCCTTCCCTCTCCGTCACCTGCTTGAATCTAGGGGACATCATAGATATAGACTCTTCAGCTTCTGTCAACCGCGTACTCTCCATCCTCTGCTGGTCTCCTACAGGGGCATCAGGCAGCTCATGCTCCGTCTTCAGCTGCCGTGGACAGTCCTCTCCAGCGGCATTCTCAGAGCCGTCTCGTGCTTTATCCTCCGGACCTGCATACTCCCACATTTCTTCCCTCTCTGAACTTGGCCCCATCAGATCTCCGGCAAGTTCTGATTCACTACCCAGACGCAACTTGATCTCTTTGAACGAGGTCTCTTCGGGAGCACACACTATTCCTCTCTCCCCTACTGGACGTTCCTGATGCTGCTGCTCCATGGTTTGCTTAAACAACTCACTGAGCATTCTCGATTCTTCCATCTTTGCCAGCACTTCCTTCTCCAGGTCGCTCACACGTCTATTAGACAGATCAAGATCTGTCTTCAACTTCCTACAGTAATCCTCCAAATGTGGGCTTGCAGACACTGTGTCTGAAGCTTCAAACCCCATTATGCCTTCCCTTTCTGAGCGTGAACTAACCACCTGCCGCACCTGTTCCAATTCCTCGCATAGTCTCAGCCTAGACTCTTCTGCAGCTCGCAGTTCCTTCACTTTTTGTTGGCAATCATCCTCGACCTCCAAGATTCTCATGTTCATTGAGTTGAGAGTCAGCTTGACTTCCGAGAGCTCATCTTCAAGTCCTTTCATCTCTGCTAGGGAACCCACTCTTTCTTCCTCCAATGTGAAGATCTGATCGGCCTGGTCCATCAACCGCTGTTCCAGCTCCTGCTTCACCCTTTGCAACTCTTCCATTTGCTGCCACAGTCCTTCCACGTCTTCTGAACAACCAATCAATAATGCCCCATCCTGCTTCAACACATTTTGTTCCTCTGCCAACCCTGTATTCTCTGGACTTTCTCCCATTCTTCCATCATCTGATGAGCCAAAGTGTCTTTGCCTCAAAAAGTCCTCCCTATTGGAGTTTGCATGCAGCAATTGCCTTGCCTCTTCTAGTTCCTTAAGAAGCTGTGTCCTTGACTCTTCCAGCTGCACAGAGTCGGCCTCCATGGCAAGGAGCCTCTCTCTGATGTGTGCCATCTCCTCCTCCCTGTGTGACCCATGTGTTTCAATCTCCTTCAAAGTATTTGTCTTTTCAACAAGCTGGCTGTGCAGATCTTCAATTGAGTTTTCCCTCTGCTTCAAAAGCAAGTTCAACTCTACCACCTCCTCTCTTAGCCTCTTACACTCCAGCTTGCTTGCTGTGACATCTGCCTCTATTTCAGAATGAGAGAATCCTTCAGCATCAGGAGAATGTGAGATTTCTGTCGTTTTTTGGTTCTCCAGAAACTGTCGTTCTACAGCCTGCACTTTGCAATAAACAAGCTGTGCAGCCACGAAACATGAAAAGTTGAAAACGTGATCAGCAGTAATAGACTTTCTTTGCAAGATGGGCCAGAGCAGCTCCACCTGCGTGAGAAAAGAAGTAGCAACTATGCTCCAATCATTCACACGGAGCTGTCCTGAGGCTGCCATATCCAAAATTTTAGAAGTGAACAAATACTTGGATTTGTTGTTTTCGAAATACATGAAACACATGTACTACTAATAGGCACTTGTATTGTCCTCCAGGGGGTGAGTAAGCAGTGAAAGAGAAAAGGAAGGGTGCATGGAACAGGGGAAAATATCTGACAACATGAAACAACCCCAAATCAGTGCTGGTCCCCGGATGGACCGCAGGGCCCTCACCCGACTGGGAGCCTGCCGGTCAGACCGGGCGGTCCACCTGCCTGCCCGGCATGTCCCCAGTCCAACCCAGCGCATCGCACCTGGGGGGGGGATACCGGGGAGTCACAGGCATCCCTGCAACTGCCCAGACCCCACGAGGCCAAAACAGGGCCTTTTGAACCCCACTTCTTTAAAAAAATGGGTGGTGGATCTCCACCACTGATTTTTTAAGATCAGCGGTACAGAACCACCACACATTTTTCTTAAGATATGGGGTCCAATAGGCCCCAGTTTCCCCATTTTCGCGTTGTGGGTCCAATGGACCACGGACCAGACATTATTAACAGGTCTTTATTCTCATCCACTCTGAGCCGCGAGGACGACAGTCTATGTCTCAGTGGTGGCTTGCAGAGGTTATATGTTTCTTCAACTTTCCTGTGCTCTGGGAAAAATGTTACAGGTTTGGGCTGCGTGAAGCCAGAGTAGCCATGATATCCGAGGTCCAAGACACAATGGACCGCGCTCCACTACATGTACCTGGACAAGACACAATGGACCGCGCTCCACTACAGGTTATATGTTTCGTCGACTTTCCTGTGCTCTGGGAAAAATGTTACGGGTTTGGGCTGTGTGAAGCCAGAGTAGCCGAGGTCCAAGACACAATGGACCGCGCTCCACTACATGTACCTGGACAGACTTTCAGGCAAGACACTTTCGGGCTGCACGCGATGAACCCTGAATCCATAACATTTTGGTGTCAAGTGTGATACTATGCAAGAACTATAAGGATTGAGAAGGACTCCCATCAGCATATCTTGTCCGGCTCCTTGGGGTTTCACCTCGAGATCTATTAGTACAGACCATGGTCCCCTGTGGGACTGCACTGAACTTTTTGGGTCACGTGGCCCCTGCACGTGAAACCCATATCTCTGAACCCACCCCTATGATACTTCCCTCCCACCCTGGGAAGCCCCCCGAAAAGAAAATTGCGCCTTCAAAGTTTTATTGCGGATTTCGAGAGATCTCGAAGAGCACAGTTGGAATCCGCAGGAAAAAAAAAAAAAAAAAAAAAAAAAAAAAAAAAAAAAAAAAAAAAAAAAAAATTGGGCTTTCTTTTTTTTTAACCTGGTTTTCCGGTTCACCCCCCTTGGGCTGGTCCAGCCCCAGTTGCACCGGGCGAGCTCAACCGGCCGGTTGCCAGCCCAGTCTCGCCTCAAATAAGATAAAGCAATGGAGTGTGTGCTATGTGCGAACCTGACTGCCTCATGTTGGACTTGGTACTGTGGCACTGAAAGCAAACAACAAGAATGAGCTGTATTTATTTTTTGTGTTTTAAAATATGTCAAACCACAGCTGAGTACTCTCTCTCTCTCTCTCTCTCTCTCTCTCTCTCTCTCTCTCTCTCTCTCTCTCTCTCTCTC